CTGACCGTTGCAAACTTAGCAGATCTGGAGGGTGAAGGCTACGAAGGCTGCTTAATCTCCTTCCCCGCGCCCCTGATTCTACTTGCTGGGCAGAAGGGAGACGAGGCGGACCAGACTCTGGGGGGGACGGAAATAGGAATCCATCCTATTTGCCATCCTTTTCTACCAGGGGGCTGATCATCGGGCTGGGGAGGGCTAAAGAGCTGAGATTTCACAGTTGGCATCAGTGGCAAATTAGTTCTCTAAGACAGGGGTCCCCAACCACCGGGCCCCGGACCGGTACCGGTCCGTGGAACATTTTCTACCGGGCCGCCGGTTTGCTGGGCGCCGCCATCTTGTTTTGATGAGAAAGTGCTTCCGGGTGAGCTTTTCCGGTTGGAAAGCGGTGTTTGGGTCCTGAAGGAATCCTCACGCCTTAGTTTCATCGAAGGGGGGGCGGCTTCGAACGAAACTAAGGCGCGAGGATTCCTTCAGCACCCAAGGCAAGGCGAGCCAAGCGACCGTCCCAAAGCCGTCTCGAAGCCCATCGACAAAGGTACAAAGGAGGAGTTGAAGGTGGCGGGGAGAAGCGGGGGACGGCTGGCTGGCCGGTCGCTCGGCTCGCCTTGTCTTGTCATGCGTGCTGATGCCGATACCGGGCCGCGGATCATTTTGTGATGCCGGTACCGGGCCGTGGCACAAAAAAGGTTGGGGGCCACTGCTCTAAGAGCTGTTTGGCAGTGAAGATAGGTGGGAACTGAGGAGCCCCACATAGCACAACCAGAAAGCCTTGGGCCCACCTGATGTAAAGCCGTGGCCCATTTTTCTCACCTCTGATCATGTAGGATTGTACGGCTACCCAATACAAAGGGTCTGATTAGGGATAGCTGTGAAGTGATCTGTTCTAGGTCCTTTCCCCATCAATGTCTGCAGCCCTTTCTGTGGCCACTTGGAAAGCAAGCACTTTACGTTGCCCGTATAGCTCTACTTGTGAGCTACATCTCATTTTGTTCTGTCCAGAAACACCAGCGAAGTTCAGGCCTTGTTTTCTTTCCCCAAGCCAATGGAAATCCTCCTGCAGGCCAGAGCAAGGGCTTGAAAATGAATGCCAGAACAACCAGCAGATTGTAAGGTATTCCTTCAAAAAAAAAAACCCGAGAAGCAAAGGAAGGCTATTTGTGGGGTGGGGGGGATGTGAATATGGGGTATGTGTGGGTGTGTCCTGGCAACCTCCCTCTACAGCAGGGGTGGGCAACTATGGCCCTTTTATGAATTATGGACTTCAACTCCCAGAATTCCTGAGCAAGCATGGCTTGCCCACCCCTGCTCTACAGGAAGGCTACAAAAAACGAGTGCTTCCTACCCTGAACACCATCAAAAACCTTCCGATTGTCCGCTGTAAACACCAGAAGCCATTTGTAACGATGAATTGCAATCTGGCTGGAGAGAGGGAGGAAGGATGCTACACGGCCTCTAGGGCCTGGCTGAGGCTCCCCGTTTGACAGAGGGGGACTATAAGGACACGCAAAGCAGCAGAGAAAACTGCCTTGTTAAAGAAAGCATGAACTCTTTAATCTTCACCTAAAGGGAGAAGTACCTGGAAATGTCTGATCCCACAAACAAATCACCTTAAGAGATGAAAACTGGATTCCCCCGCCCCCCCAGGGACTGGAACAACCAACAGTTAAACTGTAATCAGAAGTTAAATATGAACTGCTTCGTGGGATGGTGTGCTGATTCTGAGTTAACAAAGCACTGAATTTATTAACAAACTACTCCAATGCTGTTAGATTAAGCAGTCAATGTTTGACTTTGTGCGGGGACAAGCCTTAAATCCTGAGTTTCCATGCCATACAGTGGCCTAGTTTACCAGATGATGCTCTAATATACCCTCTTAACCTGAGTTTATTTTTATTTCTTTTTTTAAAGACTTGAACTGTGATGTCTCAGAGATTGCTCCCCATAATTTTGGGAGGAACATTTGCAAGCTATGAGGCAAGAACATCTACATGCAAGACAAACACCACTGACATTGCCCTCCTAGCCCAGGACCCTGTTCCCAAGTCTTACTGATCCTCCAGGTAGTAATCTCCATAATCAGGTGGGGGGTGATTTGGGGACACAGCCTTCACCTCAGGTGAGTGAGCAGTCACCCTGAAGATAAGAGCAGCAAAGGATAAGAGAAAGCAAAGTACCAGCCAGGTAAGAAATATCATTCCCTTCCAACACAGCAAGAACATTTACACCTCCGCTGCTCATAGGGAGTAGTTAATGTCCCTAGAGATATCTGCAGCTTCACTGGGGAGGAGAGAAACCACAAGCTCCCTGCCAAATTTAGCACCAATTCCTCACCCTTATCTAGGTCAGGCAGTCACAGTTATAGATGAATGTAGACTAGGAAGAGCTGCACCAGACTGCTGTCCCAGACGCAGGCAGAAGCACCAGAATCCTTTTTTTAGAAATCAAATCTTTTTGGCAAGCCTGACCTTAGGGTAACTTCCGTGGCTTCTTGCCATATAAAGAGGCCTTTTCACCCCCACTTATTTCCGAGGAAATGGCAAAAACGTGACTTCAAAGGAGTTCCAGCGTGCCCCAAAAGGACTTGGTCAAAAAAGTACAAATAAATTTTGCTTTTCTTATTTAGGTAAAAGCAGCTCTTCCCAAAGCCCCTTGCGAGCTTTGAAACTTAAAAAAAAAACCTAGAAAAAAAAAAATAGGGTAGGATTTCTTTAGGAAAGGAGCATTTCCCACTCCTTGTCACTACCAGCCCCCCCCCCCAAAAAAAGTGGGGCGAGATAGGAAATGAGAAACCCAACATGGAAAACATCATGCAAATTAGCAAAAAAAAAAAGGCTACAAAGACCAAAAGCTTACTGACTTGTTGGGATTCTGTGCCTGCAGAAGAGAAAAAGAGGGGGGAAAAGACAGGAAAGGCAGACAGGTTAGAATCAAAGGCAGGGAAAACAATGCTCCCCCCCCCATTTCTCTTTTGGGTAAGAGTCAGGTGGCCTTCAATCAGGGAGAATCCACAAGGGAGTCAAAGCAGCAGAATGGCCAGCATAACCAGGTGACGGAAGACCAGCCCCCCTTTTTTTAACATGCAGGTAAAAAGGAACAAGGCTGTGGTCATCCAGTCACACCCACCGTTTTGATGCCATTCGCACCCCTTCCCTCCTTGGATTTCCCCTACTTCTGTTATCTCTAGCATGACACCCCTCTTAATCAGGAATATTAGGAAGTGAAACCTCGGCCTATTTGGAGGGCACCAAACTGAGAAAGAGTACATGAAATCAGGACAGGTGTAATTGCAGATCATCACGTGTTACGACAACGCTGGCTAAGGATATCGTGTGGTGCGATCCCAAGCAAAATCCAGGACAAGAGTTTCCCATCCGAAGAAGAAAATGCTTACTTCCTAAAAACTCTCATCTCCAAATAAGTTAAGAAGAATCCTCAATTAGTTACATTTACGTGCAAGTGACAGAAAGTTTACAGAAGCCCTTTGCTGAAAAGAGAACGATCTGATCAGTTCACAGTGAGTCTTCACAACTCCTTTTGTACTATAAATTGTCGCCCAGAAAGCTATTCCTTGCTAAGGAAATGAAGTTATACTGAAACAACTAAGTATATACCGCACTGTGAAGTGGTCTATAAGTCTAAGTTATATTGCTATTCTCGCTATTCCACCAGTACCATTTATTAGCTTAAATAAAGTAAGTAAGAACCAGCTGAATGCACCAAGTTAGAGGAGCTCACCTAAAGCATCATTATTTTTTGGCAACATCTGAACAAAGACTGCCAACAACTTGCATGCAGTTAAGCACTTAGGGCTGTCTTCCATACATGAGTAGCTCATCCTGGCAGAAAAAGCAGGTCAATGTCACTGATTCCAAGCATATTCTTTTCCCCCTCTTCTTTTCTGAAGCTTCTTAATTTTACTGAATTAATCCCCATTCATCCGGCATCCTTTCCACCAGTTTTACCCTTCGGGCTATGGTTTTCTGCATTAACTAAACAGCTTGTTTCTCTAGTCTCGTGATCCTGCTCTGGTCAAAATTTGCAAAGCTAAGAAGGAGAAGAGTCTAAAAATTCCACCGAAAGGAAAGTGAGAAATAAAAAAGGCAAAAGCCCAAATTATTATTATTTTTTAAATCCCCACTTCTCCCATATGGAGTAAAGATAAAACTACCCGTTTAATGTTGGGAATGTAAATCTTGTATTTTATGTGCATTTCTTTTGTATATTTTTCATTTTAACATTTTTCTTAATAAATTAGAAATCTGAGTTAAAAGAATGGTGTTTTTTGTTCTTCATCAGAAAACAGCTTGGCATCTCAAGTCTGTTTCTCAGTGTCTTCTCTGAAATGTGCAGATTCAGGCTGCATAGCACTATACTTCAGGTCTGTATCTCTCTGAGCCAGGGAATGTGGGGGGAGGAAGATTTTCAAAGATATTCAGAAAGTACATTTACTCTATTTTATAAAGGTAGAATATACAACCCATAAGCAGACAATAATGGATGTGCAGATGCAGCTGAACTTGCTATAGTATGCTATCATTAGAATCAAACTATCTGATGAAGAATTATTTAGGATTGGTCAGTAAAAAGAATTACAGGTACAATAGAACATTTTCCTTGGGACATCACATTATATTTCCAACTTCATCTATTGAGTTGTCCAGTTTTAAAAAGTGAGATGTTATTATTAAAATCACAATTTATTGGGCTGCCAGTGTGACATTCTGGACTGAATGAACATAATTAAATTGGGGAATGGTTTTATTCAGGAATTGCAATATCTTTTCCAGCCACAAGAGGTCACTGCAACATCAGAGATTTACACTTTTCAATTGGGGGTGGGGATACATTCTTACCCACCAGGTGCCCCTCAGTGGAAAGCCACACATGCACAAGTTTACATGCACAGGTGTATAGAGGAGGGCCAGTGTGCAGAGTTTCACGGTCGCATTAACTACCCCGCCCACACCCCGTCCCGGATGGCCAGAAGCACAGCAACATACCCATTGTGCTGTGTGGTGCAGACGGATGCAGGGGGAACGTAACGCACGGGTTTCGTCACCCACCCGGGCTGAGAGTTTGGAGCAGGGTTAACTCCAAAGGGCCGGGCTGTCTTGTTGAGGGCAGAACTGGGAGTGAAGTTGTATTTGGGGGGCTGAGAAGAAGGGAGTGCGTCCTAGACAAAAGACAAAACAACAATGCCCAAGCTGGCATGGCAGGCAACATGCAACAGCACCCAATAATCAGGCAGAGCCAGAGGCCACAGTGTCCCAGATGGAAGCCAGGCCATTCAGGGCTCTTCTCTGAGCACCAAGGCAATAAATACAAGCTGGCACAGAGCAGCTGTAACATAAGCCCAGTGGTCCATCTCTGTCTCTATCGGTCTACTCCTCTACAGGCACTGCCTTGTTCAGCAATTCCCTTCGGGGGCAGAAAAGACCCCTCTAAGGCTGCCCAGAGGGTGTGCAAGGGAATAAATGGCCTTCCATCCAAACAGCGGAAACAGGAGAGGGGCACATGCTGAAGTTTTGAGCAGCAAAAAACAAAAACCATGCGTGTCTCTTTATCTACCCTCATCTCATTTCCCTCTTCTACCAATGGACCTGAAAAAAACGGATCTTCCAGCGCAGCCTCCCCAAGACCTTGGAAAGGACAGGATCTGACCGTTTGCCCCTCTACTGGGTGAAGCAAAGACCCAATCCAGGGATCCACATGGCCCTCCTTGTAGCTTCAAGTTTATATCCCTGGTTTGTCTTTGTGAATCGTACACAGCTACAACACCAGGGTAATACCCATGTCCAATTTCTGACTTCTGAAGTGCAATTTAAAAATAAGCTAGGGATGAGCTTAGCAAGCCAGAAATTCAGGAAGGGAAAAAAAAAGCTACTGCATTCTACAGTTCTTTAAATTGCCTCCCTGTGTCAGAACATTACATTAAAACACTAGATCAATTCTAAGGGGAAAAAAATGAGAGGAGAAATTTAATTTATTTATTTATATACTAGGAGCCCTCAACATACAACCATTCATTTAGTGACTGTTCAAAGTTACAACTGCACTGAAAAAAAAGTGATTTAGAAGCAGTTTTCACACTTACAACTGTTGTAACATCCCCATGGTCATGTGATCAGAATTTGGATGCTTGGCAACTGGTGTGTATTTATGGTGCAATTGCATTGTCCTGGAGTCACGTGATCACCATTTCTAACCTTCTCAGTCGGTTTTTGAAAAGGAAAATCAATGGGGGAAGCCAGATTTGCTTAATGGCTGAATGATTTACTTAACAACTGCCTTGCTTAGCAATGGAAATGTTGGGCTCAGTTGTCTTCATAAGTTGAGGGCTATCTGTATCATATTTAGCAACTTGCTCATAGAACGACTCCGGGTAGCTTACCAAAATCAGAAAAGAAAAGAAAAAAAATGAAGCATTTCTACTGATTGCTAAGAAGTTCCAATTGGAATTCTTCAGAAACTCAGCATGGAGGACCATTTAGGCTAAGAAGGATCACTGCATACCTTCGAAGCTCAAGTCCCCTATATCTATTATTCTTTTGGGTATTAAAATAACTATCTGAACAACGACTGTCTGGCTTGGTTGCAAAATGGTCAGTGTGGAATATTTGACACACTTCTACCGAAACTATATTGGGCATTTATTATCCTGCTTTTGAAATACATTATGCATCTACTACGTATTGCAGTTTTTCTTGTAAAATCTAGGAGAGGCTAGGTGGAGATCACTTCCAACCTTATTTCACAGTTTCCGAAAGAGAAGTGAAGTGAGAGACACACAGAGAGAGAGAAACAGCTGCGCACGCACCTTCTGAGGTCTGCCTAGGAGATTCTGGACTCTGGAAAGAGAAAAAAACGTTGTTAACAGAGGCACTGGCCTAAGGGTGTTGAATTTAGCTACACAATTTACAATCAAAGCTTTCTGCAAATCAGTCCCTCTGCTGCAAGAGAGCTGTGTTGCTGCAACTATCTGTAACCATGGAGAGCTAAAGCAAATTGGTCTGTGCAATCCAGCTCCTTTCACACCATCAGGCATCTGGAAAGGAAGCTTTGGGAGAGAACAGTCATGAGAATTTAGACACTTCAATGAGTGCGTTTGTGTGTGTGTGTGTGTGTGTGTGTTTTCCAGACTGTCTGGAAATTCTTACAGTGAAGAAATAGTATTTCTCCTTTGCATTCTAACCTGCTCTGTTTAAAAAAAAATGATTTCATCAGTTCAGATCACTCTCTTGCAAATATCACCTTGGGTACTTCCATACTGCCAAAGCAGTAGCAAAGACTCTACAGTCCTTGTTTAATGACTGACTCAGATAACGACCATTCAGTTACCACAGTGTTGAAAAAGTAACCTTGCAAGCAATCATTATTTATGACCTTCACAGACCTATAAAGCAAAGAAAAACTGAAGTAACACTGTAAGCACATTAGTGGTTTCACTTAGCAACTGCTCTGCTTAACAATCAAGTAACTGGCCCCCCTTTGCTTAAACAAGGACTGCCTGTACAGGTTAACCTGCTTTTGCAGACTGAAAATAACAGGGGACGTAAGATGAAAGTGAAATAGATCAGGTATATGTGCTTTCCTGTGCTTTTGCTTTCTGACAGAATCCTGTCAGAAAAAGAGGACTACACTGGATAGTGGCAATTGACTAATACACAAGAAACAATTAAACTTGAATAAAACGTAAAAAACATTATGCATAACTTTCTAATAACACATTCTCCACTTCCCATCCAGATATTTCCCCAACTACTAACCGCAACCTAGATATACATGCTTTACATTAATCATGTAAGGCTATTGCTAGGATCTAGATTCAATTCTTTCATCTATGGTTTTTCATTAATCTCATAACCTCCTTCCTAAAAACCATATTCCAAATGTCCAAATTTTCCCTCCTATGTAACACACAGTCTATATGGAAATCATTACTGCACACATTTGATCAGACTTCCATTATGAATATATATTGTCAATTTTGCCATTGCTGCACATTCTTCAATTATGGCCTCCCCATCTGATATCGTCAGCACAGGCCCCCTTTTCTAATGCTGTGCCAAAATTGTTCTTGCTGCTGTCAGCACATATCTTAGTAAATTGTAACATTTTTTTCTGGGATTGTACCCAATAAAAATATTTGTGGTTTCAGTTTAAATTTTATTTTTAGGATTTTCAGAATATTTTGATGTATTGTTTTCCAATATTTTTGAGTTTTTGGCATAGCCACCACATATTATAAAATGTTCCTTCTTTGTTGTGACATTTCCAACATTGTTATATGATTTATCCAACTTGAAAATTATTGACAGAGTCATAAACCATAAACCATCTGTAAAACATTTTATGTCAATTGTCCCTTAAATCATAACATGGATTAAATTTTATTGTTTCCCCCCATAATTGCCATTTTTGTATTGCAATTAAGGATTGTTTGAGTTCATGTTATCTTTCTAAAAAAAAAAGCCCTGTTAAATGACTCTTCCTTTTTCTAGATGACAAAAAACATGGTTCTTATCAAAAACACATATGTATTATGGCATACAGACAATGCATATTTTATTAATTCTATATTATCTAGATTTTTATGCAGGGGAAAATCACAGCAACAAGCAAATATTGCACCAGTTGGTAAGAGAATTAATAAAGCTGTAACAGAATTAAGACAACAAAATTTTGAGGCCAGGTTTATGTTTTAATTCAGAAGATTCTTAAAAGAAATATACAAGTGAAAGCAGTTTTTCTTTTAGAATTATTGGATAAAGATCTTGAAAAAATGGTGCTTTGTTGTTATATATGTTGACTGCAGCTAGAATTTTATATATGCAAAAAATAGAAACATGACAATTTCCGCAATGAAAGGATGGACGGGAAAAGTGATGGAACTGGCAGAGATGGCAAAATTAACTGTCCTAATTAAGGAAAAAATGTGTCCAATTTTGTGTCTACCGGGAAATCGCTTCTGGATTTTGTGCTCAAAATGGTAATAAAAAAAAAAGGTGACTGGGTTTTGATGCTTAGATTAGTTTGTTGTTATAGAATTGGTACTAATTATATAAAAGTAAAAAGCTGAGATTGGTTTTAGAATTCATAGCAAATAACAGGGTAATCCTACTAACTACTGTATATTCTGTACCAATTGCAGCCTCCAAGCTATCCTTATAAGGAAATCCAACAACAAGCACTGTGTTCATCCAGAAATAATTATTTGCCGTGCTCTGGCCAACCCACATTAATTTTGACTATAATGTTTTCATGCTATCTGTTTCACAGGTGTGGAACTGAAATAATAAACAATTAACAAGCAAGGCTGTTTTTGACAGGCGTTTTCTCTGCCTCTTAACTTTCAGGAAATACCAGCCAGCACCACCTTGCTTGTTTATTGTTTATTATTTCAAATCCACACCTGTTTTCACCTAGGAATCCCTTTTGTGTAGCCTGAAATCAGTTTGGATACTTTGGCTGAAATCCATATGAAGTCACGCTATTGCAAGACAGTCAGTCTAAGCTCTGTTCTGCAGGAGAAGATGCACATCTGGAATCAGAGGGCACACTGGTTTTGCAGGAAACTGATTCTATAGGCTCTACAATATGCTTACCAATTCTGGACACTGAGCTGCCACTTTGTTTAGGCTATTATTGTTATTAATATTAAATTTGTACACTGCTTTATCATTCAGATTCTCAGGGGCTTAAAAGGTAAAATACAACACATGGAGTAACTCAAGCAGCCAGCTAGATCAGTGGTCGCCAACCGATGGGCCTGGTCCACGAGAAAATTTTGGTGGTCCACAGAGAAATGGCACCCCCCAAAGCAATTAATCCAGGTTGCGCAGGAACACAAGGGTGCACCGCCCACATGCCCTTGGGAACACAAGGCTTGCATCGCTTGCATTACTAACAACACAAGGTAGTGAGGGGAGGAGGGAAAGGGCGTTGGAAGGGAACTTGCCCCACACGCCTGGCCTGGCCACTGGGCTGCTTCTTTCCACTTCTTTCTTCTTCTCCTTTTGGCCACACATAAGGAAAACAGCAAAAGTTTTTCTTTCTCTCCCCCAAACTCTGCCAGAAATTAGTCTTTGGGACCCTGCAAGGCCTCCTGCTCCAAGAGGCCAGCAAAGATTCATTTCTGGTGGCGTTTGGGGGAGAGAAAGAAAGACTTCTGCTGCTTTTCTTGCATGAAGCCAAAAGTCTCTCTCTCTCTCTCTCCCACTGAGAATGGGGCTGGAGACAGTAAAGAATGATTGATCGGTAGGAAAACGGGGTGGGGAATTTTCCTACAGACTTTTTTGGGGATTTTCCCAGGGTCTCTGCTACTTCTGCTTTTTCTGCAGAGACCCTGGGAAAAACCTCCAAAAAGTCTGCAGGAAAATCCCCCATTCTGTTTTCCAACCAATTGATCATTCTTTACCATCTCCAGCTCTGTTCACAGGGGGAGAGAGAGAGACTTTTGACTTAATGCAAGGAAAGCAGCAAAAGCAGCAGAAGTCTTTCTTTCTCTCCCC